CTCATAGAATAGAAACCACGCGTCTTTCTATAATTATCTTGCAGCAAAGAATTATATTTTCTGCGGCTATCTGAGAATTTAAGAGCAGAGCCTGCTTTATCTCGCATTAACTAAGTTCGTTCAATTAAATAAGTTCTTTAATGTTTCAGTTGTTTATCTGAATCGCATTATCGTGGATTGAGAATTGTGCGGTTATGCGTAACACTTAACATGAACGTGCAATGTAAATACGAAGCGGAGCGTATCGCTGGGACGCAATTATCATTAGAGATTAGACGGCGATAATTGAGAATATTTAAATACCGCGTATATGTAAAGCGCGTGTAAACGCAATCCGCTTGGCTACACACTGAATATCATTTCGTTGACACTCGTTCGCCGGGTGCAGGTTCCCACGGTCTGAGAATATTTAAAAGCAAAATCGCCTGCACGCGTAGTTGCGGCCGGAGAATGCGTTTCCTGCTAGGCGCGATCCGTAAAATTGCAGCAGGGACGGTGACGTGCGAGGAGGAGAACACTCGGTATCATAAATAGAGTCGGTGGGAGTCGAGCAAGAAACACGCGTTTCCTCCGAAGGCTCGCGAGGAGGAAGAAAAAAGGAGAGCATAGCACGTGCTCGCTGAACCAGGCTACGGTATATCGGTACCAAGATTCTTGCGTTCGGAAATGTCGCCACCTTTTCTCGCCGTTAAACAATTTATCTCGATCGTGTGAAAGAAAGAGAAAAAAAAGGATCGCGCGCGGAGTGAAAGTTAATTGCTGCTCACAAAAAAGCTGCAAACGCGTGAAGTCGCGTACAATTCTCTTTCGCGAAACACCTGTTCAAAGTAATAATATTGATTTTAAAACAGAAAGAAAGACGTTACTACGGTTAAATACGGTTAATATTTGTAAAAATGTCTTTTTCTTCCTGTACGGAAAGATCTTGCTAAAATATGTAAAAATGTATAGTCAAATTTATTTTTAAATCTGTATCTATAGCTATATTTTTAGATACTTTAATAAAAGTATTTTCAGGTTAGAATAAAATTTTACAATTGTATTTTGTTACGATCACTTTAACGTTACGCAGCTGCTGTTTCAATAACACTACAATATTAAATGTTTTATATCGAGAATAAAAAGGTCAGCACACCTACCTCCAGTGCATCCACCATAAGATCCTTGAGCTCGTCGAGGCAACGATTTATTCGCGCTCGTCTCTTCCTTTCCAAAAGTGGCTTTGTTATCTGGTTATTGAACATACGTTATATTTTATTAATCAACATATCGCCAGCTGCTTCAAGCATTCGCATATCGATCAAGCTCGGTGAAATCTTTCGCACCTCGATTTTGCATCTCTCAACGCGCGTGTTCGATCGTTCATCACAAAGTAAATTGCTAATTTATGACGTAGTCGGGACGCGTGAAGGCGGGAATCGCGACGCCGAAGTGACAGAGTAATAATCGAGCTGCACCGTCGCTTTATCGTATGCATCTCCGGCATTAATTCAAGAAATCTTCGATTTGTAACTTGAACATCGACGAGTCGCGCGCGAGAATCACAGTCTCTTGTTGTTTCATCGCGACACCGAAAGCAATGATTTAACTTCAATTAGCGACCGGTAATTCATTCTGCGTGCCATTTCTTATCCGATTACGATTTCTTCGGCGATTAAATCACGAGAAGAAATATGAATTTATGCCTTATGACATCAGGTACCAAGTCGTCGAGGAAAAAACAATCAATTACTGATGTCGCCTGCGATGAAACACTTTGTCAAGTATTCGCCTACTCGATTATCGATTTATCGAATAGTGAATGAAATTGAAATCATCGTATACAAATGCAATTATTATGTATCAATAGCCATGTCCAACAGAACATATATTTTGCAATTATTGGACGTTTTCTTCATGCAAGTTGGATTATATTTTTAGAGAAATAGTCCCATTTCAGCGAAGAAAGTTTCTAACAGTTGCAAAATAAACGTTCTACTGAACGCGGTCAATGTATCCTTCGTATTTCTCGAATTTAGCTCATATTATCGACGTTACGTGTACTTGCCATTATTAAATATTACTTATAGATACTGTATCAATGTTATCGCACAGCACGAAGCTAATTAACGTCAATAAGCAATCATAATCTTAAAAAGCTTCTAATCCTAAAAATAGATCTCTATGGCCCGTTTTTACCAATATAGTTTAATTTTAATCTCGGTTTAACGAACTCTTCATCTTTTTCCAGAGTTTTTCTAAGAATTAGAAAAAGATAAAGAGTAAGTTGAACTAAGATTAGTTTAACTAAGTAAGTTTAACTAAGTTAATCTATATTGGTGGAAACGGGCCTATGTGCCATGCCGTCGGCAATTCATGAATGTAACTCATAATTGAATTTCGATTTGATTCGAAAAGTAAACAGCTGCGTGAACTCGCACAATCTCTCTTGCGTACGTATTAAATATTAAATATATCAAATAGCACTTAAATAGCACACTTAATTGCCCGCCACTATACATTTCTAATTCGCATTACAGTTGTACAAAAAGAAAAATGTGTGCTTATCGTTTATGCTTAACTATATTGATCGCAATACCTTCTTGTATTGATACGTTCTCGAGACCGGATGAGGATAATCGTACGACATCATTGCAGGTGGGAAAGACATAAATCCAGAAAGGAAAGTAGGAACTGCAAAAGAGAGAAGAGCAATCGATGCAGCGTAATCGATATATAACATAAAGAGATTCTATGATAAAGTAAAATATCGCAATAACAAGAACAGGACTAATTAAAATCTGAGCACAGTTGTAAATACATGGTTATTTATAATATAATAAATATAAATGACATGAGAGAAACATTGAAAAATACAAATGCAGATGCTTATTTAGTCTACTAAATATCTTCTAAGTTCAAAATCCTTTTTTTTTAATTTACAGCTAATTTACAGTCTATGGTTAGTCAGAATAGATAATGTGAGAATAAATAATATTGAATATATTACCAATAATTAAATACAATCATCAACGAAACTAAATATAGCCAGTCAAACCGGATGGTAAAATGTATAATGAAAATCAAATGCAGTTTCGATAGCAGCTAACAAATTTATTCAATAAATAAACATGTGAGGCAAGTGCCAGATCAATTCTGGTATGATTTATAAAGCCGTAGATCAAATAGATCCAGACAGACGAAAGCCAGCATTGGAAATTTTATTTCATACTTCGACAACCATGTAAAATATTCATCTTTAAAATTAATACTCGTCTATACAAAAATAGTAAATTTCGCAATTTGAGAAATGTCATGTATAAAAGTTAACTTTCCTACAAAGATATGAAAAATTATTTTTATATGTTTAAAAAAAAGTTAATTTTATACGAAAGATAACAATCTCTAGTAAAATGTGTATAAATAACATACAGAAAATGATAGAATTTCAAGTAGAAAAATGTATAAGTAAAATACGTGTGTGTGTGTGTATATATATATATATATATATATATATATATACCTTTGTCAAAATAGGCAACTCCAACAGCGGATGACAATTATAAAAATCGTCATTTGAAGAGAATTACTAGAGACACTGGCGTATGAAATGTTGAAACCTACCGCTTTGTTTATCCCATCAAACAAACGAAATCGCATAAGACGGTATCGTCCTCGAGACTTTCGCCAAACAGTTCGATCATATCACGAGCCGATTTGCCTTACGGCGTTTCACCGCGACATCTTACATCTCCCGTGTCGAAATGTAAATGGATAAAATATCGGATAACGCGTGTTATATCGACGACACGTCGAGCAGATTGACAGATCGGGACGGGCTGACATTAGACACACAAGCGGGTGCACTTGGTGAAGTCTCTACACCAACTGACTCGATGCTCTCCGCAGCCATTCCAGCACAGGCTACCCTCACCCGGCTACGAACCCTCCGGAGAAGTTACTTTGGATAGGAAGGTCGCTTCAAATGCTTCGTTGTGTTGTACCCACACGAATGCACGCGCGCAACCATGCGTACCGATGGGCTGACAAAAGTACGAAGGGCTGCACACGAGAGAATAATTCAAAGTCAACATATTTCAACGACACTGCCAAATCAATTACGTCGAACTTTCTCATGAGAATCGCACGAAATCCTTCTTATATCGAAATTTCTTTTCGTATATTGCGATCTTTCGTATAATAGACTTTTAAAAAAGCTTGTAAATCAATTGTTCGTAGATAACAAAATTTATCAATGTTGATTGATCCTTGCTGTTCTTTGTTACTAGAGAGATTTTGACTGGAAGACAAAATTTAATAGAAGATTAAAAATTGGTAATTTTATATAATAAGTAAAAAAGATACATATATATATATATATATACACATACACATATATTCCTCTTTTTAAATTAATTATAATTAATTAAATTAATTATAATTACGTTAAACACGTCAATTATGAAAATATGTATTAGGTGTTGGAATTAATTCGTAGCGTTTTTTAATGAAAGAATGTTATTTATTTCACATGAGAATTAAAAAATACATTAATGAAAGTACTTCCCATCACTTGTAAAACGCTACGAATTAATTCCAACACCTAATAATTATATAATTCAATAACTAAATTACATTATATAATTCAAAATTATTTATATAAAAACATATTTTTTTATTACTAATTAATTCTAAATGTAAAATAAATTTTATCTTTATAAAATGTAGATATGTTTTGTGAATACATATTTAAATGATGATCTAATTTAACGATGTACAATTAACGCTCTATTATCGATATTTCTTTTTATATAAAATAATATTTAACAGAAAGTTCGTATCTAAGATTTCAAATATGCTAATAAAAAAGACATGACGCACAGCATAATGTTACATCACGCTGTAAACATCAAAATATTTATTGAGATAAAAATTAAAGGTTAAATGACGAGCATGTTTTCAACTAATTAATGTGACAACGTCTATATATACTTCACATAAAGGAGTTCAGATAAAAGGAAACCAACGACGTGAACGTATTAGGAAATACATGATGCTAACGAACATCTTTCTACCGTTCTTCCTGAGTAAGTTAACAAATTTAAATATTTAAATTCAACATATATATATATATATAAAACAAAAAGTAAATGAAAAGAAAGAATTATTAAGTTCAACATATTCTTTTTTCGAACACATGAATATTTAAATTGTAAGACAACGTCCATTTACGATGCTTTATATATATATATATACCTTTTTAGAAAAAAATAAAATCCTACTAGCTAATTTAAAAATGAACAAGATATAAATTTTAAAAGCCGAATTACAAAGATTAATTTCTGTAAAATGTAATTTCTGTATAAATGACGATATTTTAATATTGTATCTGATTAAATATTTATTTATTTATTTAGCGGTTAATGTAAATCTTTCAAAACCATTGAATTGTAATATGATATACTCATATCATGTAAGCAAAGTCACAATAATATATAAAGAGCCTTTCGAACATACGCAATTAACTTCTACAATAGCATGTCGGCCCATTTTATTGAGTGGTCTCTGTTGTTTTATGCATGACATCACATCGGAAACGACTGTGAAGTATTCATCGTGGGGCATTGGAAAAGTCAAGACAGACATATTGAAAGTCGAAAAATGGTTTCAGATGTGGTTCAATAATCGTGGTTTATTGAGAACAGTCATACCACCAGTCAATTCGGAAATTAAAAATTTTATTAAACATATCAGTCAACAATTCAGCTTAGGTATTAATATAGCAGATTACAGAGACAAAATACAAATAGATGTCCCAATGAAATTCATCACAGATGAAAAGACACCAATGGGCAATTGTAAAACTGATTATGATATAGATATAACATATATAAAGAATGCAAATAAGGAAACAAATTCCATTTTCGAAATTAGACCGTTAATATTGACACATTACGTTAAGCAAGAAAATTTAATACGTACATATATTATGAAGTATAGAACGAAATGCGATTATTCAACAATATCAGATAATGCTACCTTGAATGAAACGACAGTGGTATGTATAATTTTCTTTATGCTTTATACTGTTAGAAATGCTTCCTTTACTTGTAAATGAAGCTTGTAGTTATGAATGAAATTAAAAGTAACGAATGATTTAACTGATAACTAAATTATAGCAGTTACTTAAATGTAATGAACGTGTGCATTAAATTTCACAAAATTTTATGAAAAATACATTAAATTTCATAAAATACATTAAATTTCATGTACATGTACATAAAATATACCTTTCAGTTATAAATACATTAAATTTAAATGTCATGAAATTAAATTCAAATTGTGTAACTTAAAAGCACATTAAATTTCATGAAATTTTTAACAATGTACATTAAATTAATGAAATTCAAGAACATTTCTAACAGTGTATTTTTTCATCAATTCTATCTTTTTCTTATTAGATACAAAAAGTTAATTATTGCGTGTCAATTTTAATGATTTTAACTGTAGCATTACAATCGTTGAGAGTTATAAAATAGATCTCTTAATTTCTTAATCCTCTGCTTCAACACTTTTATTAATTCTTTAACTAACACATTTTTATTTTTTCTTTATATAAATTATATATGTGTGTGTGTGTGTGTGTGTGTGTGTGTGTGTGTGTGTGTGTGTGTGTCCGACTGATTGTAAGATCAAGAATCTTATATTTATAAAAAAGTGCAATATAGCGCAATGATAAAATCATATAATATATATATATATTTATCAATAATAATCTATAAACTTTTTTTATTGGAAACTAGCATGTTTTACCATTACTTAATGATTTTGACTTCTCTATTCACACAAGTTTAATTTTTTCTATGATAAATCTTGCAGGCAAACTATGGACATGGAATGAAAGCAGAAGGTGATAAATTTCAAATAATTACCACGATGGATGTGTATTTATCAAAGCCCATTTCAACCCCTTGGGTACCCACGTTTTCGGAAACGACGGAGATAAATCTAATTAACATTTCCATCCGATCATTATGTGATGACTTATGATTTTCTCATATTACGTAAAAATATGAAATTTTAAAAATATATATTCTATATGCGTGATATCTAGGCACATATGAATTCTTTGTTTAACTTACATCAATAAATCTTTTTACATTTGTAGAATTTGTTACCTATACTAATAATTTGATTAAATTGAATATTTGAAACATTACAAAGATATTATTAAATAGCAATTGATAAAATTATGATCTTTTTTTGTCTTCATTATTTCTACAGCGATTTGTGAAATTTATCTTATCATTAGATATTCTCTTACTTCAAAAGGAACACAATAAAAAAAAAAGTGATTTTTGAGTTATTACCATAAACGAGTTAAAAACTCGTTAATTAAAAACGAATTAAACCTTTACCTTATCGATCATTAAAAGTGAATTTAACTTTATAAAAAATTATAAAAATTGTCAACTCAAAAAGAATAATTTTTTAAAACTCATTAAAACTATCTCAACTCAACAAGGGTGATTTTTTTAAGAGTGAAATGAAAATGACAAAAATGACGTTTGATCATATTAAAATTATATATCCTTTTTGCCGATATTATGTGAATCAATAATTTTCTGTCCAATCGAAAAAATAATTCTTCCTCTTTTCTAGGAAATTCAATTTTTTTTAGTTGTGTCACTTTAATAAGGAAGCGATATTCAACATAAGTACTCTGATTCTTCTTAGCATCGTATCTAAGAATGCATCTCGTTTATTCACTGAAAAGGATGTAACTTGTTCAAGTTGTTCAAGTTTTAAACTTAAATAAAAAATTAATTAATATTTATTAAATAAATAATTAATATTTATTATATCAATTTAATTACTGAATAATTAAATATACATTCTTGTTTCACAAACTGTTAACTGTCAATGTAGATCTTATTTCTGATTTTGTTTGTTCGTCAACTGATACATCGCGGATGAAGATTGGGTTAGTAGTTACTATTTAAGTTACGTCGTATATACGATAATTAATGCTCTGCGTGGCAAATGGGATTGGATTACTAATTTTACACGCGCGTCTGTTGGCGCACGCTCGCGTCGAACGGTCGAATTTGTTTGCAAAATATAGCGATCGTGCCGAGTTCGCAATGCGCCCGTCGTAACACGAGCTATCGCGTTCAGTGAAAGCAAGCAACGTTCAATCAGAATGCCATTACCACATATCCGTCGATAATGAGGCGGAAACTGCTATGGCACGTTTGGCGCTTCTGCAGAACGCGATCGTGTTACATTCGTCAATGTTTTTCTCCTTCGTTTAGATACTAAGAGCTTGCGATTGCAAACTGGATTGGTTTTAGACAAAACTTGATAACCTTTCCCGAGTCCAGTGATAAAGAGAGAAGGCGCAATGAACGAGTTGTGATTAGGAAAATAGCACAAGAAAACAGAGATCGTACAGCTCATCTTATAATTACATAATTTTGCAAATTCTTGTATAATCGTATTTTAAACATTCTCTAAACGTGAGATTGGAGAGATTTCATAAAACTTGAACTTCGAGCTATAATCACAACATCTCAATCGTTCCCATCCGCTTCGTCGGCAAATCATCCATTGGCAGTGAGAGTTCTTTTTATCATCACATGCACTGCTAATTAATATATAGTGCAAGTAACCGAGTCGTAAACATCATATGTACGGTAAAAATGTCGTAAAGGGTAATACGTCGTCTCTGTGATTGCGACGATAGCGTGAATCCAAATGAGCAGTTCGCTATAATCGCATCTCGCAACTCTAAAATTATCGTACACCTAAATTGTAAAGTAGCTCGTCTCAGCGATTACCTCTTCATTAATTTTCTAAAGGCTATCTTAATGCGATTACGAAGACAGCTGGTTTCCTCTGGTGCAAAAATGTTGCTCTTAATCGGGATATATCGTGACAGATAAAGAACTGGAATTTCGTCTGGAATATCGATGATAGCTAATTCGAGAGTAGTACGGTAAATTTAAACGTTAAGAATGAAAATGGACAATAAAAGAAGGTACCCTGTGATGAGGATCATTTTTAAAGAACTTTTAAAAAATAATACGTTCCAACACGCAAGATAAATTATTTAAAATCGTCGCTTGTGTTATTACTTCAATATATTTGTGACACTTGGTAATTAATAATTACGACGATATCTCGTCGATGAGCGTCGATCGTGTTTCGTGCCGTGTGACGTTCCACTTCGTGGCAGCGCTGAAAAGACACCATTGTGGAGGCTTCAAGAGACGCGTCTGACGTCCACGGGATTTCGGCTGCTTCACTCAAGATGATAAGTCGAAACTCATTAAGATTATCTCTATGTACCGGAGCTGCCAGATGCTCAAGGAACTGCAGACACGCCGCGCCAACTGCATTTGCACTTGGCGTTTGCTTCTGGAGCTGCTTCGTCGCTCATGTCAACGAAGAATTTTTATAGAGATGATCGTCGTGATCTCTGGGCTACATTGGACGATTAGTGTCATGACGGCGCTACAAGATTCTTCTCTCTCGGAGTCTTCTTGTTACAGATAGACCAGTACTTGACACGTCGAGGTGTGCGCGTCAAAAATTTTCAAAGCCATGTGCTCCATTAAAATGGAAGGGTGAAAATACCAAGAGACCAAATGACACGATGCACAGATTTTATTTTTTCAATATATTTCACGATTAATATATATATATATATATATAAAACCATGCAAGTTTAATTAACTCAATAGATCATTTAGATTTAGTAGTAATTTCTAAAAAAATGTTTTTCAATATTGTGTACTTTTTGTTTATGTATACTCGCGTGACAAATATAAATCATTATAAAAAAATCAATGTTCTTGAAATTATATTCTCAGTCGCTAAATCATATCTTTGTACGTTCTAAACCAGTGATGCGCAACCTGCGGCCTGTGAATATTTTGCAACTCGCCTGGTCATAGATAAAAATATAAAGTCATATCTTCTACTTTATGCGAACAAAATATTATCCACTCGCAAGATTTTTACTTATTTCTGAAAACGACCTATTAAAACTGAACTTACTTATTTCTAAAAAATAAAAATTTTCATTAATATATAGCTTTTTTATTAAACTTCTGATGGAATCGCATTTAAAGGTTCGTGAAGGATAACTATTAAAAAAGAAAGAAAATGTGTTAAACAATACTCATACAAATCAATAGGCCTGTTCATGTTGTTTTAAATTCCCAAACATTTTTCAATTTAAAATGAGATATATATATATATATATATATTTAGATAAATATATTGTATTTATTTTATTTGAAAAGAAAAAAGGCGAAGGTACTGAGTGCAAAAAGTGCAAGCAACGCGAACAGATCTTACATTTTACAATAATTCACATTCATTTTTTCGCTGCGGTATAAAACATTCCAGACAACCATTTCCGGATTAAACAAGATTGCGCATCACTGTTCTAAGCCATTCTAAGGGCGCATAATCGTACGATCTACTACTCTTTTTACACAGCGACGATCGTGTGTACACAGATTGTATCCGGTGCTGTCATTCACGAGACGTGCAGACGCGCCCGATTCTTCGGCGTGCTTTCATTGACGCCAACCGACGTATTTAGAATCCGACACGACTCGTAAACATTCGCACGCTTCACGTAGCGGCCCGCGATACGGCACAAGCGATAACAAGCGGTCTGATAACGTCGTGAACGATATTGCACGGGCGGTTTCAACGTCGAGTGACATCAACTAATTATTGTTTTCCTTCCTGGTATTTCAAGCAGTGAACGACTCGTTCTTTCTTCCTCTTCGTCCCTCGCTCGGTAGACCGACAGACACACGAGAACTGTGAGACTCGGCGGCGAATGCAAGGCGCGATGATCGATGAGGAAGAATAAATAAAAACTTCCGCACTGAACCGACGAGCTTCCTTGAAGGATACGTACTATCATCCGATAGATTAATCTTTTCTCCGAGGCCAAATTAATCTTTACTCTTCTCGCGCTATCTAAAACTTAGTTACAGTTATGTTATGTCTAAAGTTAAATGTTACAAACATCGATAAAAAAGCGATTACATTCTTGAGAAAAATAATTCATTTGTATAATTTCATATAATTTCAATCAAATAGTTTTTAAATAAAAGAAAATTCATTAAAGTAGTTTTATTTTTTTTTTTTAATTAAATATTACCAATTTCTTGAAAAAGCAATTACGTTGTTGAGAAAACTTTTTCCTTTCGCGCACAAATAAATCGAATAATTTTTAAATAAAAAAATTCGCTAAAGTTGTATATATATTTTTTAGATCAAACATATTATAGATATAAAAAAATGATTACGCATTCTTATTGAGAAAAAATTTTCTTTAACATTCAAATAAAACAAATACTTTTTAAACAACAAGACATTAAAAAAATTTAGTATACTTTGTGCATGAAAGATAATCCCATATAAAAAAAAAACCAGACCCCGAACAACTTTCCTTGAGATGTAACATTTTCGAAGCCTTGGAAAGGATCAAAAGCCTTCGTCTGCACGCAATAATTATTGCTCTCAAAAATCGGGCAAATACAAATTTCTTTCCCAAGATACTCTCGTCCTTACGAAATTACGAGTGATTATTTAGCCGCCTGGTGAAATCAGCTTCCTTGATGCCTTCGCCGCGCGTTTCTCAGCACGTTCATTTCCCACGCACGTGGTGTAAAATTGTGGTGCACCCTCTCGCCGTTTACGATCGTCGATCCGCGGCCGCAGTCTCCTTCGCGTGCACGTAAAAAGAGGTAGCTTGGTTTGCCCCCTTTTTTTAAGTTTATTGCGGTTGATTGGCGAGGCCAAGACCCCGAATGATGCTTCACGGCACGAACTGTGGCGTCGGCACTCTTTCTCGCACGGGCCTAGAAATTGAGGTCCGATAAAGCGTCTGCATGCGAAAAGGGCAAGGAAAAGGTACCAGACATTTGGAGAAAGTATGCAAGTGTGAACGCTTGAGAACGCGGCACCGTTTAGGATAGTCAAGAATGAATCCTCAGCTGGGCAAAATCGTTGTGAAAGCC